CACCTGCTGAGGGCTCTTGTCAGTTTTGAGGACCAAGTTTGTCACAAGCAGCAGCTTGAAGCTCTACACTACGTAAAACCCCTTGAGAGAAAAGCCTCGTGCTATCACTCAGGAGCTGCAGGGTTATGTAGGAATACCCAAACYCCATGAGATGCTGAGAGTCACAGCATTTGGCAATGCCATCACTTCTTCCAATTGTCAAACTAACTCTGCTCCTGGGCATTACGGATGCTGAAGATGATCTAACACAGGAAAGAAGAACTTTTACAAATCTCCTCTTGGATTTCTCACTCATTAATTTAATGCCTCCCAAAATGAGCACTCGCAGGTTAAGCGTGGGAAAGGCAGAGCCTGTGCCTTTCTCAACACCTCAAGATAAGAAATCTTCCAGTTTAGACATGAGGCAGTCCCAATACATGGTTTGGGGTTAAACCAGCATGTAAAGGGGCTAGAGGGGATGTCCATTCCCTTACTACCCCCAAAAGAGCTATACTCCCCTCTCCTTYCACCCCTGCACCTCCAGCAGCTGCCACCAGCCTCCCTCTGGTCAGTGGAGAGGGATGAGCCAGTCTTGGATGTCCCACATGTCCCCTGAGGTACCTGGGTGGGTTTCTCCTGCAGGTTTGGGAAGACAGGGCTCCCACACCTGCCACAGCTCTGCTCCATCCTCTCCCTTCAGCTAACAAGCAGCTGCCCAGGTTATGAGCAGGGTTTGAAGAAACAACAAAAAATKAAACTCAGACTTACTCTAGGACAGTCCTTCCATCAGGGTCTCGGAGAAAGGCTGGGGGTGATTCTGTGGGGACACCCACACTCTGCCCAGGGCACCCCAAGAAACACTGGGCTGCGTCCCCACCACATCCCCAGCACTCTGTCCCCTCCACCACAGCAGCTCCGGGGTTTTGTGGCAGACACACCCCCCAGACCACCCCCGAACTTCACAGCTTCTGCTGCTGCCTCCCTCGAGCACCAACTCACCGGTTCTTAAATAACACACTTCACTTCCACAGGGCCAGATCCGCACTCAGCAAGGTAAATCCAGATCAGCTTTCTTTAGACTTTGCTGGTAATTCCCAGCATGAGCAAAACATGATCACTACTCGTTTCTCTTTCTCTTAAAAGGATGGAAGCTGTGCCACCAGCCCACACCCCATATGAGAGGCCCTCAGCCCAGCTCCTGTTTGCCATCATTAAATGCACACGGATGGGTGTGAGAATGGGTGTGAGACCTTTACACAACCCTTACACAAATGAACCTCAGAGCCTGTTTTGTCCGTGTTCSGGATTATCCTTCTCCCTGCTACTGAAAGGAGTTATTTAAGGGAGCCCGGGGATACAGGCTGGTGCTGGAGAGATGTCTAGGCTTTACAGAAATCACTGCATGTGCCTCCACACCCACAGCAGCACCACCAGCACGTGACCTGCCTTGGATTTCCTCAGCCCGCGATGCTAAAATAAAATAAAATAAAAACAAACAAAAAAAACGAATAAAAAAAAAACGAAAAAATCACTTTCTTTGTACCAGGTGGCTTTTCCAAGACTCAAACGTGGCTTTTCAAGAGTGTCAAAGGAATTAAGTCATTAAAATGTGGATGAGTTTGATGGATTATGAGCTATGAAAGCCTGGTGGTTACTGACTAATAAGGCTGGGAGGTGGAGGAGGGGGGATGTTTCCTCTTGTAAGGATGTGTTTCTAACAAGACAGGTCAAAAATATGATGCGGATGATAAATTGCTTTAAAAGTTGCCATTAACYCAGCAGTTTTCTGCATTATTAGATTACCAAGGCATCCTCGGAGTGGACTGACCACACAGCTGTGCTCTGTACCAGGGCTAATTTGCAGAGTGAGACCTGGGGGAGGTTATTACGCTCGCTGCAGTGAATCCCCCTCCCAACAAAGGGGCAGGTGTCCGTGGAGGGGATGGGTTTATCCGTGTCGGGGTTTGGGGTGAGGGAGAGGAGAARGGAGATTCTTTTTTTCCCACGCCATAACCCAAATCTCATTGTCTCACATGGCCGTGGAGTTGGTGGGGGGGGTTGAATTTAAAAAGAAAATGAAACAAAATAAAACAAAAATAAAAAAAAAGGAGGGGGGGGAAGGGGAGGGAGAAAATAATAATTTAAAAAAAAAAATCACATTGGAAAATGATCAGCCCCAACAGGCATGCATGTCTCCCTTCATGCAAGCAAGAAGCACAGCCTCCCTCCTCAGGATGTGTACGGGGACATGTGTCAGGCACGGAGGAGCTCAGCGCTGGCCCGGGGCGAGGATGGAGCGAGAACAAAGGGCCACGGCATACACTACATCCAGGGGGGAGCAGGGGGGCACCCCGCCGGTGCTCATACAGAGGGGGACAGGATGGCCAAACAGTCACCGAGGTACACGGAAAAAGAAGTATGGAGAAGGAAATCATAAATGTTTGTAGAGAAAACCAACCAAACTCAGGATAGAGCTAGGAGAGAGGTGGAAAGGCACAGCCTTGCGAAATGATGCGTCTCTGGGAGGGATGCTGGGGTAAGGCAGGGCGGGCTGCAGGAGCCACTGGCTTTTGTTTTGTTTGCCAGCGGCTCCTCGTGAAATTTTAGCGGGTGGGAACCACCGACCTGCTGAATTTGTCTTCCTCTCATTAAAGACCAATCACCAATCCTGCGTCTCCCCCCCGCCCCCCTGGCTTCTGTGGAAATGTAATTAAAGACGAGATGTTCCCCCCGCCTCCCCTCCCAGCCCCATCTCCTGGCTTTGGGAGCCCTGACTTCCCTCAGTTCCTCGTGGCATCCAAGCCAAAACGGGGAGGTTTTACAGGACCATTTTGCAGACCTGGGGGAGGAGGTCTGCTGCAGGCACAAGGAAAGGTGACCACTATCATCATCATCGCTTTGCAGCCGCAGCAAAACTGCTCGCTGACCGCAATTCATCCATCCCTCCGTGCTTCCAATATTTTAAGGCTCCCCATCATTTTCTCCCCACGCCGTAGTTTGCCTTTTTCTCAATTTTTTTTTTGACCAAATCGAGTTTTTATTCAGAAGATGGTGGGCCTGGAGGCTTCGAGCAGGAAAAATGTAGTTACAACATTAGCAGCTGGGACGTTTTTACGAGCCCTGCCTTGCAGGGGTCTAGTGGAGATATTTATAGCGTGCCAGTCGCCGCGGGACTGAGGCACGGCAACTTCTCGCCTGGCAGATGGTGGGCAGGGCGCTCGCAGAGATGTATATGTTTAAATATACAGCTTAAAGATTAGAGAGGATTTTTTTTTTTTTACAGGTTGGTTTGCCTCTAGTTAAGCAGGAGTTTCGAAAAATAAACAATTCCCCCCCATCCATCCAGAGGCATCAGTCTGAAAAGGAATGTGTAATGTTGTAACTAGAACGAATACGCAGCAGACCCTTCATCAAATTTYTTTTGATTAATAACGAGGGATTGGATTTGTACACTTTTTTTTTTTTTTGGCTATTCTGCGGTAAAACCAGAATTCTGCATCGGCACAACAGCAATATGGACTGTGCGCTGGGGAGTATGTACACACAGACTAATGCTGAGGGTAGATATGGGATAGGAGGTGAGGAGGAAAAAAGATATTTAAAAGCCCCCGTATCTGCTCTACGAGGGAGAAAAAATCCACTCACTCAAACCTCACGATGAGGGGAAAGCAAGGAAAAAATCTAAACAGCAGGATACGACAATAAATGGGAAAACAGCAATAGAAAAAGCACACTAGGTTAATATAGGAAAACTAGTTTCTTTATTGAGAGATCGTATATTAGTATTAGTGGAATCGTGTGTAACAATGTCATCATGCACACAATACAAAAAGGCAAGGCCCACCATGCTATGGAAGGGCAACAGAACAAAAGCAGCGTACACTGAGCAGATGTATAGGCTACAGCACATTACATTTCAGCAGGGTATGTCTCTACAGAGAGATTTACATCAGAAACTAGGTAATGTAAAAAAATACAGACCATGCTTTAGTTTTAGTACAAGAAAAAAGGTGGAGATACACAACCAAAGGATATTCGGTACAGAAAAAATTACCCACAAAATAAGAACAGGAAGTAATTTAGCACAGCAGAAAAAAATGTTATCCCTGTTTAATGGAAAACCATTTTGCCAGTCGTCTCTTTCGGCAGCCCCGGGTTTTTTGTTTTTTTTTTTGGGGGGTGCTGGGCGGGTTGGGGGTGCGCCGGCGGGACGGGACACTTGTGGCTGCAGGGAGGGCCGGGGGCGATGGCCGCGGGGACAGCGGTGTCACCGCGGGGACAGGGATGCTGCTGGCGGGGGCACCTCAGCCGCCGCTCCACCACACACGGATCTCGCTCCCCAACTCTTTCCCAGCCCGATTTTCGGAATCGCGGCCAATCGCTGCGCTTCCCCACCCCAAATTTAATAATTTTTTTTTTTTTTTTTTTTTTTNNTAAAGGCTTTCAAGCAGGGACGTGGGACCAGATGACCCCACCGTGGTCCCTTTCCAAGCTCAGCCCGCCACCGTGATCGTGGGCTTGGCCGCAATTTGGGGGCGTCTGCCCCCACCCCACCCCAAAGAGACTCTGCGACGACGACCACAGCAAAACGAATCCACTTAACAGGAATTTACAGTGCAAATGTAACTCAGCTACTACACAGGATGGAGGTACAAAAATGGCTGTTATCGGCTACAGCTACGCTGGGATGGCCTGGTGGCTACGGCGAGGGGGTGTGGGGGGGGGAAGGGTAAATTAAAAGATAAAATAAAATCCGTAAAAGAAGAACAACGGAGGGGGGATGGGGGTGGGGGAGATGGATCTACCGCAGCGGAGACGGGAGGTGCGGGCGGGAGGGGGCCCCAAAACATGGTGTGTGCGGGGCGGGTGTCGCCCCAGAAAGGGGGATGCCGCTGGGCTGGCTGTGGGGAACGCTGAGGGGCAGCCCCCCCCTTCCTGCCGCCGGGGACCCGGGACGCGCCGCCCCCCCTCGCCGCCGTTAGCGGCCCCGGGACGCGAACCCGCGTTGCCGTGAGCGGTACCTCTGTTGCGCACGGAGCCGAAGACGGGCAGCACCAGGTATCCGACGTGCACCAGGACCATGCTGCGGCCTTTGTGCCCCCCGGACGCGCCGGCGACTGGCGGCGGCCGCGCTCGGCCGGCACACAAAGGGGCGCGCGGCCAATGGCAGCGCGGGGGCCGCCGCGGGGACACGCCCCCCGCCCGGCAACGGCCAATGGGAGCCGGGGGCGGGGCGGGCGGCGCGCGAGCGGGGGGGGGGGCGCGCACGCGCGCGGCGGGGTCGCGTGCGCGCGCATCCGCCGACTGTCCGTCCGTCCGTCCATACATATATACATACATACATACATACATCATCCCATCCGTCACTTGTCTTTCTGTCCGTCCATCTGTCCATCCATGTATCAATACATACATACATCATCCCATCCGTCACTTGTCTGTCCGTCCATCCATCCATCCATCCATCCATCCATCCATCCATCCATCCATCCATCCATCCATCAATACATACATACATACATACACACATCATTCCATCCCTCCACTTGTCTGTCTGTCCATCCATCCATCCGTCCATTGATCCGTCCGTCTGTCCATCACTCCATCCTTCCCCTTGTCTGTCTGTCTGTCCATCCATCCATCCCTCCATCCGTCCATCCATCCATCCATCCAAACATACAGACATACATACAGGCATACATACATCATCCCATCCCTCCACTTGTGCATCCATCTGTCCGTCCATCCATCCATCCATCCATCCATCCATCCATCCATCCATCCATCCATCCATCCATCCATCCCTCCATCTGTGCATCCGTCTGTCCGCCCATCCATCCATGTATCAATACAGACACACATCATTCCATCCTTCACTTGTCTGTCCGTCCGTCGGTCCATCCATCCATCCATCCATCCATCCATCCATCCATCCATCTATCCCTCCATCCCCTCTCCCACACAAACACGTCAGCAGCAC